TGCCCCGCCGAGGGTCCCTGCCGGGGATCCCCGCCCCGCCGGGGGTCCCTGCCCCGCCGAGGGTCCCTGCCCCGCCGCTGCCCGGGCCGGCTGCGGGAGCCGGGGGTGTTACCCGGGCAGGAGGCTCCTTTCCGGGAGCGCGGAGGAGCTGTGCCTCGCTCAGCGTCGGGGTGGTGGGGATTTCTTAGAAAGCGGAGAAGTTACGTCTAAAATTAAATGAGAAGTGGCAAAAAAATGGGGTTTTCACATTGACATTAGCAACAACCGAGCTCGTTACTCTCTAGGTGTCCTGGTTCCCATTTGCAAGGATGTGCTGAGCCAAACCGTCCAGGTGCCGGTGTCATCGTGTTAGACGTACTGCAGTGTTGTATTCAATGCTGCATTTTTAGCTTCATTACTTTTCCTCTGAACAGCCTAACGATGAAGCTTTTTCACAGATTAAAACCGTTTAGCAAGACCCAGCATGTGTCTGCCAGATCTCAGAGCTTTCTTCCTCCGCTGCCGAACACGGAAACGTCTCTTTCACATCATTTTATACGAATATTTGAAGCCAAAGTTCAGTAGAAGAGAGGAAACAGTGATCCATAGAGCCATAAAAACGAGGCGGTGTGATTTCCTAGTGCATATCACCAAGAAACTGTGTGTTCCATCCTTAGGTAGGTGTCAGGTGTCACACGGACTCGCGGGGTCAGCCCTTTCCTTTCGCGTGGGGACCGCGGTGGTGATGGAAGGGAGTCAGATCCTGCAGACCTGCAACACGCAGCCCTGAAGCTGCAGGCAAACAGCTCGGCTTGGGAATGCCTACCCTCTGGAAAAGCAGGAAAGGTGGTTGCTGCAGCTGCTGCCAGAAATGCTGCTGCTGTGTGAATCCCGTTTGTACGTTCAGTTTAGACTAAACCGTACAGATTTGAGGGTATTTGGAAGATAGTTATGGAAACCTTTACATGTCTTTCCTAGATACCCTACCCAGGAAATATTTGCCATGGAAAAAGATAACAAAGTATTTTTGGTAGAGCTCTCATGCTACATATGCTCAACATTGTATTTCTCTTCAAATTTAGCATAGAGATGCATACGCACTGGGTCATGCTCAGAGAACTTAGATCCTTTTCCTTTCATTTTCCTGTGGCTGACGGTGAAGTTGAGTATTTATGTGGACACAGAATGTAAATCACAGTTTTAAAGGCAGAGTTTCTATGCTAGATTTAAGAAATGTTAAGAAAAAAGTATATATATCTATTATGTTACCTGCTGTTGCAGAGACGCTACTTATTTGGCAATTTTAAAGCAAAATTTTCATTCTATTGACGTAATGCTTTTATCTAGGATTAGTTCCAGATAACAGATTTGGTACAAGGGGTTTAAATCACTTTTA